AAGAAGATGGATGTATCGATCAGAAACGTGAACATCTTCCCAAGAGCAGGCTTCCCCATGGTTGAGGAGAAGATCGAGACATTTTCTCTCGAGCCATGCCGAAGCTCTGGATTGTTGGGAGAACTAATACCGACTGCGGCATTGGTAAGAATAGTGCAGATGTGATGGCGGGACGTTAGGTGACGGAGAGACCGCAAGAAGCTTGCGAGGAGAGCTTGACCCTGTGTCTGGCTCTTGGCCATCATTGTGCTCACAACATTTGTGATGGTATCGATAATGATCATACCGATCGGACCGCTGTGAGGTTCAATGCCTTGAGAGTCATGGAGATTTACACTTTCTCGCCATGGTTCGGCCTGCAGTTCTTCGTCTTCGTCGTCGAGCTCTTCTTCGCTGTCACCAATCTCAACCCTCCTCTTCTTGAATACTACGACCGCGGGCGTCTCAAACTTCGGCGCTATCTCCTCAGTCAGCCCATTGACCTCGCTTATGGCTTCTACAACGCCAGCCAAATCGAAGACTCTCATGACTTTCACCCGATCGAGCATCGAGGTCGCTTCCTCAATCATTGTCTCCTTCGAATTCTCCAAGGCCGACGTCCTTTTCTCGTACATGTATCCAGACTCTTGGTAGCTGTTGCGCTGGATCTTGGCCTCTAGACGGTAAGCAAGGGCATTTCGCAGTCGTAATGGAGAAAAGGACCCAGTGGTGTCAATGAAAGCTACCTCGCCGACCTCGTGTGTAAGAAGATGACTTGCTATGGCATGGTATGCTAGCTGTAGGTGCAGTACGTTAGTATTTGCAAGCGAATCTCAACCGGCCTGACTATCGGAACCAAAGAGGCAAAGCTGGGTTAGAATTGAGTCGATTGGCTACACATATCTACAAAATGCGACGTGATTCAGGTTACAACTCCCAAGGACCTACCAAAGTCTTTCCGGTCCCGCTTGCTCCAGCAATGGAAGTGATTTCTCCATATCTAAAGCCTCCATCAAGAGCATTCTGATCAACTGTAGCTGAGCCTGAACTCGCTGGTAAGGGCCTGGCTTTCTCGTGCGCTTTGGCTGATGCAAGCAGACTGGAGCCCAGTAGGGGCGGAGCTGCCTGGGAGAGGTCTGACATTGTAAGAAGAAGGGATTTGACTAGGGTCGCATGGCATTGGCATTGTCATCAAGAAAGCTTCGTTTCCATGAGAACTTGAGTTTCTGGACAATATAATCAGTGTAAGAGTCCCGGACAGTGGATGCCATAGCAGTCCAAAGCTGGAAAATCCTTGGCATTCTGGCATTTGAAACTGATAGGGCTGAATTTTTCTCAGTGCGGTAACTCTGCCGAGAATGTTTTAATCTTGAAATTGATGCTCGACTGAAGTCAACCTCAACTGCCATGTGACCCTCCACCCTCTCGATGTTCAAGCTTATACCCGCTGCGCAAGATTTATTCATATGCTTGCACTGTCAGTATCGTCTAAGCCTTCGACAAGGACTCCGCTCTGGCCGTCGACGCCCGACCGGACACCCTCAACAGCTTCGACGCTTCACTTCAGGACCCAGCCTACGGCAAGAGCAATCATCTTACCCTGATGTCGCTACCCACAACGACAATCTTGAGAGAGCGCCTATCAGATACTATACCGAAGAATTCTTTCCTCACCAGGATTACAGACATGGGAATGAGCCGTCTACAAAGGACAGCCTTGGCCTCAATGTGCTGGGCGAGCCAGCCGAGGTCCTCATCTTGCGAGACAAGCAAGATCGCTTTCGACTCGATACGAATATGGCACGAGTTCGTGCATCAGGTCCAGATAAGAACCCTGCCCAGAAGCCTATAAGCTCGTCCGAGATGCTGGAAGAGATGGATGCCGAAAGGGGGTTAATTGATATCGATGAGGTGTGCAAGAACATCGAAAGTGTGGGAGAATCGTGGGCGGCAAAAAAAAAAGGTAGCATCACAGGAGTTGCATACAAGGATTTGGTTTCCAGGCTACAGGAGGGGTTCACTAAGCACCAGTTGGGAGCCTACTTAGAAAGGGCTGGAAAGGATCCGGCCGCTGATGTATTCGACCTAAACGTGGAGATATCCAACAATCTCTACACTCGATCATCATGGCAGCTTGTGGGAAACACGCCACTTCGACAATCCAAGGCACCGAGGATTGCGAATAGTACGCCAGAAGAAGAGTCCAACGAAAAAGAGGTGCATGGGAAAGAACGCGGACAGGGACTAAGCAAAGATGCGTTGGTGAAAAGGATACTAAGACGGTGTTGGAACATTACACCCAGATTTCAGGAATCTTCATTGGGTGAACTGGACGTACGGCTTCATAAACTCCATCTAGACTTGATATTAAACCACAGTAAGCAGCTAGTGGGTTAAAGACTTTGCTCGTAAAACGCTAATCATGCTAGTAGAGAGGGATATCTTGAAGTTGATATCCAGGAGCTATGACTCAAAAGTCGAGGCATGGCCTGGAGATTGCATCATCCGCATCACATCTGACTATGACAACTGCGTTGACATATTCAAACTCTTAATTCACACTCTTGAGAACATTCGAGTCTCCACAATTGATCTCCGTGCCCATTCAATCTCACATGAGGGCTCGACGTCTTTTCCCAGGAAGTTGAACAATGCTATGCTTCGGCAGATCGAGGAGTACACCAATACGCTTGTCAGACCACAGGGCGTCGCCCACGAAAAAGTCAGTATGGCATGCGTATTGTCGATCAAATGCTGACGTCTTGACAGTTGCGTGTGTTTTACCTGGGACCTGATGACGCCGACCTTTTAGAGACGGAAAGATTGATACATCAGATTCTGCGACCTGCTTCCACACGGAACCTTACATTAGCTTGGTCGAAAGCTGACAAGCCGTCTAATGCTATCCCGGCCCCAGTTGCAGTAGGTAGCAGATTGTCCCTGTTGGATAGGAATCAGCAATGGTCAAGATGGTGCAGCCCTCACACAGAGAATCGCACTCAAAGGAGGAAAAAGAAGGATGGGGCTCCGTCCTCTAGCTCATCGACAGTGCCGGCGACTCAAGGTATGCATGGCAAATTGGCATTCGACACAGTGAAGTCATTCTTCGAAGAGTCAGACGACACTAGTTACAAGTACTCCAGAAACATTACGCCGTACTGGACACCAGAAATTAGGTGCCATGATTCGGTGAAGCTGGGCCAAGTGTTGTTCCCCGCAGACAAGGCAGGAACCATCTTGGAAGCGCTAGAACGAAATCAAAGAAGGACCAAGAAAATGAAAAGCACGGGCCATAGGAACAGACCGATTGACACCGGAGATATCGGCTCCAAATCTTTGAGGATACCTCGAGAGTTTGTGCCTCTTGTTCCCGGCCTCGTACGCTCGTTAGGTAGCCTCGGGTCTCTTGAGAAGACCGAGGACTTTTGGCAAATTCGGTTGTCACCATCGTCCAAGAATGTGTCACTGCCTGTCCCTGTCGAAGCTCTGCCGGATCTGGAGATCAGAATGTCCTTCGATCACGAGAATAAGACCACTTCAATCAAAGACGTCAGATTGGTCAACGAGAAGGAGAAAGACTTTCTGCAGCCACAAAAGATAGTTGACCTGCGGTTTGTTAGAAAACAATGTGTTTATGCGAAAGATGACAGTATCGATCCGCGCATTGTGTCGTTTGTGCAGGACAGTAATTTCGATATCTGGGGCACAGAGCGTCTCAAAACGCCATTAGGTATTTCGTTGTCGATCCCTGCACTGGCAATTCAGTCCCACAAAGGTTTCGACCCTAAAAAACATGAATCATTGTTGGTCGACTACACCTCACTCGGCCTCGAACACAGATCCTCACTCATCATGCCCTACCAAGAATCCGACTCCTGGTCCACCCTCACATACACCAGCGTCGAAGCCGGCCGCGTAGGCGGAAGGAGGGACGAGCTTTCCCTGCACAATCTCAGATATCCGTCTATACAACCGCCCCCTACCGACCCTGAGCCTTTCTCAGCCATCAGCATCGACAACGACCCCGAATCCCTCTCCGACGACGACCACACATCCATCCTCTTCCACAAAACAGCTTCCCTCATCGAGAGCATCGAACTCGCGGCAAGCGACCAGAGCGATAAGCCGGCCGATAGGCGCAAGGGCCCCGTCAGAGGCCTGAGCATGCCGGAGCTGAGACACTGGAGAGGCATCAGCCCCAGGAAGCTCTACAGGCGGATTGGATTCTCGCCGGACACGGGCTATTTGCCGCCGGTCAATGAAACGGTTAGGAGGGTCGCGGCAGATCATCGGTCGGGCGGGAGGGAAGAGGCGGCGAGTGGCAATGGGACTAGTTGGATTTGAGTAGACGAGGCTGGCGAAGTACCTTACGGCTTGAGTGCTGGTCGGTGCTGAGATCGAGGTGGCGGGCCGAGAAGGAGACTGGAGGACTCGATGTATGTATATTTATATGTAAGATGACACCCCCGGGACTCTTTGGCACAACGTTTTGACGTGGTTCCGGGAACTTCCAAGCGGGTCTGGGGGTTGGCGTTGTACTTGATATACCATTCGTCATGCCTGTGCCGTGCCGTGCGTGTTGGATGTAGAGTATCACTTTACGACTGCTACTTTTATATACATAACAGGCACGCTGCACCACGTATGTATGTATGTATGTATGGAGTTTGATCCGAGTGAAATGAAATTTCATTCCACAAACAAAAAAAAAAAAATACAAACCAACAGACAGACGAGAGTTTGGGTATAAAGTACAGGATCGAGCTGTCAAAGCCAAAAGCCCTTGGACGTTCAATTCGGAAGCACCGTCTATATAGTAAGATTTCTCTCATACGCTCGCTCAATTCGCTCACTTATGTAGGTATAGCGGGAGACAGCACAACAGCCACAGGCGCCGTACTAGTACGCTCATTAGGGAAAAAGGGTTATGACCGAGGCATTTTCGCTCGCGTTGGGGAAGTCTGTGCACGGCGCAGACAGACAGAGAGAAAGAAGATGTAATATATTCATCATGCGACAGTTCACATGACGACGCAGCACCCGCACCCTTTCTCCTTCTTCTTGCCCGGATCCGCCCTTCCGCCCTTCTCCTCGTCCCTTCTCGCCATTCTCTCCCTCTCAAACGGATCCAGCGCCCTCTGACCGGGCCTGATGTCCGTTACGTTCCCCAGCGTGGGACTTGCTCCCTGCTTCACGCGAGGGATGGGACTGTATCCTGCGTGTTGTCCTCCGTCGTCACCACCGCCCGCGGCTGGGTTGGCATTCAAGCCGCCGCCGCTTGCCGGTGGTGGCTTGCGTGGTGTGGCTTGCGTCAGGGGCCATTCGGGAGCTGATTGCTCTTGTAGGGCTTTTTCGTCTGCGTCGCGGGAGGAGGGTTGGAGACCGTTGATTGTGTGTTCGGCTAAAGGTGAGAATTCGCGCGGCAACTGCGCGGTGGGTTTTTGGTGGTGGTGTTTGCTTTGTTGGCCTTCGACTTCCCGCATCCGCTGCTGCGACTCCTTCTGCGCTCGCTCCCACTGCTCTTGTTGTAATCGCTTCGCGTGTGTAGGGAGCAATTGTTCTTCGGGTGGTAGTCGCGGGTCGGGTTTGTACATGGTGGCTAGCCAGGGGGCTTCGCCCACGGGGCGATTTATGGCGGTTGCAGGGCGGGGTTCGAGACCGGAGCGAGATTTGGGCCGTTGGACGGTTGAGGATGGGGTGCGTGAGGATGGGGTGCGTGAGGATGGGGTGCGTAGGGAGGTTGTTGTGGTGGAGATGATTCGGGGCTTTTGACTTAAAGGGGTGGTGTCGAGGCCGGAGCGAGGTTTGGGTCGTTGAGCTGAGGAGGGTGTGCGCTGAGTGTTGGAAGGGGTGAATTGGTTGAGAGGGCCCGGGTTGGAAGCAGGTGTAGGTGTGTGATTGGGGGTGTTGTCGATATCGTCGAGGAGGATGGCGCTGCCGACGCTGTTGTTACGGCTGCGTATTCGAGAATAAGAGAGGCCGTTGTCGTCGCTGTTGCTATAGTTGCCGCTTGTGCCTCGTTTTCGCGGGAGCGGATGGTCTCGTTCGATGTGTTCTTGTGGTATAGGCATGGGGCTCGAGCGTGGTAGGGGTATACGAGATGAGCTTTTTCGCAGGTCAGGCTGTGGTTGGTGGTATCCGTTTGAGAGATTCGTGGCGATGTGATTGTCCGCTGCTATCTCTTCTGGTGTCCTTATGTCAAACTCGTTCACCACGTTTTGCTCTCCTCGGTCATCTTGCCGTGTTGGTGTCTCTGTTCTTCTGTCCTGCCGATCCTTCAGTGGCGGCATTCCCTCATCTCGATCAGGCGCCACTGTACTCTGATCCTGGCTCCTGTTCTTCTCCCGTCGACTTCTCGATCTACTAGTGATAGATCTTTGTCGTTGTGGTGGCAGCTTAATCCCAGCCTCTTGCATCTCATGGCTCTCTATCATTGCCAGCTTGTCTCTGTGTATCCACCGTGATCGTTCGGGGTCCTCAACCTCCAGGAACGGCTCTTCCTGCGCCAGCCCTCGATCCGTTCTGTCCATGCTTTCTCTCAAGCTAGTTTCACCTAGGCTTCTGGGTTTGCTGTAGAGGTCCAATAGACTATCTGCTTCGCTGCCACTTCTGCTCGCATTCAATTCCGGTCGGCTGCCGATCTTGGATGGCGGCGAGAGATAAGAGGGGTCTATGCCTGCACCTGACCTCGGTTGGCTCTGTCTACCACTCAAATATGCCTGTCCATGCCTTTCAGGCGTTGCGGGATGGTTGCGTGCCGGTAAAAGACCATTGAATTTCGGCGGAGATGGAGGATCGAAGTTGAGCTTTTGCTGTGGGGTTTGATTGTTCGTAGGATAAGACGTCGAGGAAGTAGGGCCAGTCTGTGGCCGGGGGCATTAGTCTGGAGGGCAGCCGATAGGTGTAACGAAGGCAGAAAGATGCGGGCTAGAGCCACATATTCCAATGGACATTACATTGTAGGAAGGGGGACAAATAGACCGCTGGAGACAGGAACTGGCAGGCTTACGTACTAAACTCCCATGGACTCGGCTCCTTTTCTTGCGTTCTGTGCGAATTTCCCACTTGATGATTGTGAAGCGTTCCGAAAACAGCGGCCATCTTTGCTTCCTTCTGCGCCAAACCTTAGGTTCAGAACGAAGGCCTCAATCCTCGTCCCAGTAGCCCCCAAAGTCCCCAAGCAACCTTAGCACCAGGCTTGTCTTCAAACTCACACCTCTAGGTGTGCCATAGGTGACTTGCTCCTCTACTTCAAACAATGAGCGGTGTATTGATAATGTATCTTGCGTTGACTGATCCTTCTGGCCGGAACCTGGTCAATGGCTTATATTGGGGAGGGGGGGGGCGCGGGGGGCGGAAATGGGAACAATAGTGGGATTGTGGAGGGATATGGATCAGAATCTTGTCGCTGGAAGGTCGAATATGTTGTATAAGAGAACCAAGCGTGCAAAGATGAGGATAATGGACAATTAGAAGTGTGCGCAAGGAAGAAGAGAAAGCGAAGGGGACTGATTGTTTGGTACATTATCTGGTGTGGCAGCGCTTTCAGCCATGTGATTTGCGCCAATCATTCGCCGTCGGGATTTACACTCATCTTTTCTCCGAACTTCCAGCCCTACCTATCAACTATTATGCCAAGAGCTCGGTCAAATCCAGGTTCACTCTACTCTACATCGGTGGAAGTCGTACGGTAAATCACAACGTCGCCTATTACATTGCTTGTCTTAATGATAAGTCTATGAACATCTCCAACAAATATGATAATACCCAGCCAACTCCGGCGCTAAAAGTCTCATTCATATGTTCGTCAAAGCCGCACTCGGCCATCAGCAGGCCTTCCGCCAAACCATCTCCCCATGCCCCTACCGGAATCAGCTCTCCCACTTCCTTCGGTACTCCCATCTGCTCTTCCCATCCACTTTGGCCGTTTACCCAGGTCGCTCAGCCAGTCAGGTCTTTCGACGCTGTCGATGGTATTCTTCACTCGGTGGGCGAAACCTTGGAATACATTCTCATCCTCTTCTTCTGCGGCTGCCGTTGCATCTGCGAGCCTTTGAGCTTGCCGCTGTTGAAAGGTCGATTGTCTGGGAACGCTGGGCCGAGCGCTTTGACTTGTGAGAGCATGATTTGGTTGAGGCCCTGCCCTTGTTGGGCTCTGTGTCCCAGAAGGTAATGGCGAGGAAGGGCCGTCCAAGTGGCCTGATAGACCAAGTCGCGAGGCGCCCTCTAATTCTCGATCGATGAGTTCTTTGCCCTCTCTCCATCCGCCGGTGCCAAATGCAGATGGGTTTCCCTCGTCGTCATCTCCGAGTATGCCAAAGCCAAGGACGTTCTTCACGCGGCCATAGAGATTGAATAGCGTGGCACAAACGGGTACTAAGATGAAAATCGGGAAGAAGTAGTCGAACCCGGCCCCAAGAGGCGTAAGGTTGATCAATCGACCTAGAAAGTGATAGAAGATGGTCTCTCTGTGAACATCTCGTGGAAAGAAGGTCAAGAAGTTGTAAGCTAGCGGTACCGTGAGCTTCGCTATCTGCCCGGAATACCACGTAGCGCTTTCTCCGTATGTGTTTCTCCGTACGAGGGCGCGGTTGCCCCAGATCTTCACATCGTCAAAGCTTGCGAGTGTGGCCATGGACATATAGAGTAGCCATAGCGAAGCAATGACCTGACCTCCAAAGCCGACTTCATTTGCGTGCGCTTTGCTATGCGAAAGTATGGTGAGACTGATGATTGAGAGCTTTGGGGCCACGTATTTGACCAGCTCGGACCAAACGATGCACACGGAAGCCAGCGAAAAGACGGCTCCATGGGCGATCCTGATGGCAGGTACCACTTGCGAGTAGAGCAAGTAGCGGGTGTACGGCGTCAAGAAGTTCAAACGCTCTGACCATGAGGAATGTGGTGAGGCTTTTCCGAAGTCTAACTTTCTCGAGGCACCGGCGTCAACGATCGCTTGAGTATCCACTGCTTCCTGTATGAGGCGGTCCCAAGCCTCTACAAAGCGAGCACGTTTATGCCGAGCACGAGTTAACTTCCTGGTTAGCTCAGCAAGATAGCGGTCAGTAATTACTGCAGGTAGGGCGGGTGCTGGCACACGGGCTGCAGTGCTTGCGATACGGGAATTGGGCAAGCTCGAAGCATCGGATATATCTTCAATCCATTCCTCATGGTCTCTCGAAACAGCATTCTTCCGTTTCCGGAGCTGGGTGAGCTGAGCCTCCAATTCTTCGAGTTCTGTTGTTGCATCCGATAAGCGATCATTGACCTTGGGGGCATGGCTTTGTATTCTTTTCAACCTCCCCGCGACATTTGCATTGCGGAACAGTCTCCGGGGTACAGCGACCAAGCCGTGACCCATCAAGTATATTGCCATGATCAAGCCCCAGCAGTAGGCCAATCTGTTGTCTGGTCAGCATTGTTACTCATGTCCCCAGCTGATATGGACCCACGCCATGACCAATGACTTGACCGAGCCTCCTGCGAACCCATTCTGTAGAAAGACGTATATACCTGCTGCTGCTGCGCAGGCTATGACGATGAGCTGATATCGCGCATTGGATCTGAGAGAGTAGAAGATGCGGTCCTTTGGTGTACGGTACCCGGAGTCTGTATATTCACCGAGGAGTGGCAGGATGACCCTGGTATGGTCAGCAACTGCTGCGATAGAGGTAGCTCTCCAGGATGGGGTACCAAGTGAGAGCAAAGGTCAGCCAATAGGTCATTCGCCATGCCACAAGCATGACACCTTCGGGCAACCATATCCCCCTCAATGCCTCTTCATCTGGTCTGGAGCTCGATGCGAGGTCTATGGGGACAAGGAGTATGATGCTGATTGGGAGGGCGAGAGATAGGAAGATGGGAAGGATGAGGTAGGCAGGCGTTGTTCGGAGAGGCAGGAAATGGCGGAGGAGCAGGAGGACAAATATAGAGATGAATGCAAGGGCCAACAATGCAAACGCGTCTGATCCTGTTGAGGATTTCATATCGATCGATGCGATGAAAGTTAGACGCCGGTGTTGAGATTTAGTGGTAGTAGGTATGGCAATCAGAATAATGAGAGTACAAGTATATTCTGTCCAGATGATGTAGTCTACCAGTACCTTACCGGTAGGGCCCGAGGATTGCCAGAGCTGTGGGTGTCACTAAAGTAGGTATGTAGGTACTTTAGGCGGGTGATGGGTGGGATAAGGTAATGTTGCGCAGTAGACTGGCAGTAGTGGAGGTAATGACGCCTAACTAGCGAAGAGTGATCTGCCCAGTAGGGGGCCAGTACTGCCCTATCTGACCAATGAGCGCCTTATTCTAGGGCTCTTTTTTGGGGCGGGCCGACTCGCCGAGAAAATGATCAGCCTAGCTTTGCGTTAGCGCCCTTGGATTCCACTTTCTCCAGCTACTAGATTGATCCTACTCTATTATTCACCCGCAGGCACCGAACAGTAAGATAGTCTCAGCCAAACTCACTCCATCAATTATTAAATCCAACTTGCATTCTTCCTACATCTATTCACAACCGAAGACCTCCGTGTCACTCTTTGATATTGCTACTGCTGTTACCCTTTCACTTTGCCTCTTAGTCTTTCTTGCCTGGGGTTCACTGTCATTGTCGGTGAAAGTATTTTACTTGATTTTATCTTCCGATTGGTCAGACCCCGAACGGATCACAACGCTCGTGTCTTTCAGCTGACACAACTCCAGCTTTTGTCAGTCATATGCTTCTAGAAGCCTCCTTCTGTTCAACTGCCGCAAACGTTCGTCAAGCCTCTGAAGGATACATAGCGATGGCAGTTGTTCGCTCTCATTATCCTGTGTCCGGTGTCCTGGCTTGCTAGACGCGGGGCTACGGTTGCTTCGCTGTCACACCGGTCCAAACAAGGCTTCCATTTGCCTCATTCTGTCAGATCTATCTTCTCCTCAGCATTTACCCTTCGCCTCGTCGAGCTCTCCGACACACACCGCCTCCTACATCAGGTCTATGTCACATCTACTACCTCAACCCGCTGTTACTCCGTCTCCTTCATGACCTCCACATCCTATTCAATAATCCAGCAACCTATTGCCACAAGTATTGACTTGTCTCGTCGAAGCTGCATACATAGCACGAAAGAAGTGTCCTATCGCTTGTGGGACATCTAGGTGATCGAAAAAGAGCTCGGGTGAATAAGTGATCTCGACCGAGTGACTGGCCTTGATCACTTATCTAGCCACTTCGTACTCTTCCTCCTGGTCCAATCAACCCTTCACATTGTGATACGAAATCATGAATCAGGGCAATTTCCAGAACATGGGGGTGCCTCGACCTGCTCAACAAGGCATTCCGCAGCCGGGAGGCATGCAACGAAATGGACCTGCATCTTCAGATATCCGCCAGCATATCTTGAGAGAGTTGAGCAGTCACCCAACCCCGACCGGATGGCAACAAACTATACCTCCACAAAATCGTGTTCCGGTCATTCAACAGATGTACGTATATCGACGTTGATTGTGATGATCTCATTAACAATATCTCTCCAGAATCACACAGTTATCCCTGGTCAAACCAGAGTATAATCTAACCAAGACCTTTGGCATAGCAACATCATTCGAAAAGGAGAAATTTGAGCAATCTCCAGACAGGGTGCGTTATTTGCCTGAGAGCTGGTTCATCAGCTAACAGCTCCCGACAGCTAACTTACGAGGCCCACTGCCGCACGCAATTGAAAAGGATCTTCGACACTCGTCAGAGCCAGGCGGAGCAGCAGCAGCAATTCCTGAACCCTCAGCAACCTCAGATGGCGCTGATGCAACAGCAGATGGCCATGCAAGGAATGAACCAGAACCAGTTCCCACAGGCATATCCTATCCCCCAGCAGGCGCATATGCAGAACCTTGGGAATCCAATGCAGCACCATCCATCTCAGAGCCAAAGACCAGTGCAGTCAGCCAACCCGATGGAAATGCAGCAACAAATGGCGAACGGACAGCCAGTACCGAACATGGCTCAACGTGGCCCCCAAAACCAGGGGCAACCACAATTCACCCCACAGGAACAGCAGCAAATCATGCAATTGGCAGAAAGCATGGCACATAATGCGTCTCCAGAGCAGATGAATAATGTTCAAAGGCTGGTAATGAGTATACCAGCGGGTCAGCGACAGCAAATGCAAAGCCAAGGTATCAATCCTGCGCACGCCGTCTTTCGCCAGCACGCTATCAAGAGGTTTCTACAAGACAAGGCTGTGCAGCAACAGAGAGCTGGTCAAGGTCCTCACCCTCTCGACAGAGGAGGTGTGGTGAGCCAGCAAGGCCGTCCTACATCCCAAATTTCTATGCGTCAAGGCCAACAAGTCCCACCGCCTCCGACACCACAACATCATGAGCCATCGTTCGATCAGTTCTTGGGACAACAGCAGGATGCTCTGCGACATCAAGAAGCTGGTCAAGTCGTCGTCCCTGCAAGCCAGGGAGCTCCGCCTCAGGTCCGAGGAACGTCACTTGCTCAACCGCAGGGTCAATTTGGTGCGAGACCAATGCAACCTCCTAACAATTTCCAGCAACAGCCTCCCGCGGTCTGGAACACCCCTCAGGGCCAACATCAGAATGTTCCACAGACACCTCAGCCACAGGTACCGCCACAGACATCCAATCTTGCCAATATGCCTGGACAGACTCCGCAGCAGCAAGCATTACAAGGACAGCTGGGCGGTCTCGATAACAATCGTGCCCAACGTACACCACAACAGAATCCCAATATGCCGACCCTCAATCGGCCACTCAATCCTCCAAACCAGGTACAGAATGGTCAGAGACAAGCCCAGCCTACGCCTAAGATCAGCGCAAGAAACGTTCCGAACGGGCAGCAGACTGCTGTTGCCAACGGCCAGGCCAGCGTGGGGCAGCACTCAGCGCCAGTCAACCTGCAGCAACAGAAATTCCAAAAGTATGTGGCTAGTATGCCTGAAGCACAGAGGGCTGTTTTCATCGCAGAGTTCAAGCAGAGACAGGAGCGTAGGAAAGCTGAAGAAGCTGCAGAAGTTGCAGCTCAAGCAGGTCCATCAGGTGCACCGGTGGCTCCAATGGGTGGTCAAGGGGCTAAAGCGCAACCGGTACCCAAAGCGATCCCGAGTGCTGCCCAACCTTCGATGAATCCGATTAACAGGCTTAACGGACAAGCTCAAGTAATCCAGCAGTCAGGACCCCCAAGTGGAGCCCGCGGTCCGCAGCAAAAATTTGCACCAATTTCATTAGACGAAAATGCAACCCGCATAATGGACAGGGTCGAGTTCCCACGGACTCTTCTAAATGTTGCCGGCGACAATGCAAAGGTTCCTGAACATATCAAACAGTGGGGTCAACTCAAGCAGTGGGTGCATCAGAATTCAAACATCTTGCCTCCAGGGAGTATCCACAAGGTGGTGGGGTTGCAGAGTATTGTCTATCAACAAAGAGTCGCGCAAAACAATCAGAGGGAGGCCTTGAACCAAGCACAGTCGCATGGCAATACGAGGCCTGCACAACCTGGTGTAGCCCCTGCAGCGCAAATGGTAGCCCCAAGTAGCATCCAAACACCCATCCAAGGTTTCACTGCACAGGCACCAAACTCTTCGATGCCCGTTCTGCCGCCACCGACGATCCAGGAAGTCGCAGCCGCACGAGCTCAATTACCAGATAACATGAAAACAGCCAGCGATGAACAGCTCCGAGAAATGATCTCGAATAAACGACGTAATGATTATTTCAAGGCTATGCAAGGCCAACAAAGTCTCACTCAGCAGCAGCAAGAACAGCAAAAGCAACACCAGCAGCGTATGAACATGCTTCGAATACAACAACAAGCCAACGCCCAACAAGCGCAAGTTTCGGTGCAGCCAAACCAGCACAGCCAGTTGCAACCGTCTCAACGCGGCCAGAATCAACAACCTCAGCCTGGACAGCAATGGCCACAACCTCAGATGGCCCAGAACATCTCTCAACCAAATCCGCAGCAAGCGAAGCAGCCGCAATCAAGCCGATCTGGACCTCAGGCATCGGTGCCACAACCCAATCACAAAAACGGTAAGCGAAACAACAATAGTGACGATGTCATTGAAGTTCCGGACCCCAAGCTTTCTCAGCAAACGGCTCGTCCGCCAAACATCAAGGGACCTCAGCCTCCACCTCAGCCCCCGCCAAACAATGTATCTTCACAAATAACACCAGAGAAGTACAATTCATTGCCTCCCGAGGCAAAAGCTCGCTTCCAGGAACAGCGACGTTCTTATATAGAGGCTGCTCAACGTGCTAGTGCGCAACAGTCCGGCCAAAATGCTCAGAGACAAAGGCCTGCAGAAGCTGTGATCCAGAATGTTGTACCCAATGCGGGACGAGACGGACGAGTGAAGGAATTGAGGAGCGAGGTGATGAGGAGCATGCCTACTCGGCAGCCCATTCCTATGAGCCCGAGTACAAGAGCCAGGATGATTGAGAAATTGAAGAACGCAGGTGTAATGTCACAACGACTCGAACAATCTCTGCCCCTATATCTGAGTCTATCGAAAGACGAGGATAGGACTAAAGATCTACTTCGTTCGGTATGTTAATTCGTCAAGATGTTGAAGACCGTAAAACTGACTGCGGCTAGCGAATCGCTGTGCAGCAGCAACTCAAGGAGACACAATCCGGCGATACAAACCCGGTGGACAACTTCACAATGAGTTTGGATGAATTGGAAAGTATTCAAACCAAGCTACATGAGTACTTTCAATTCATGATGAAGGCCAAAGTACCAAAAACAGGTGTTCCTGTCCCGCCGGTCCAAAATCCACCACGACAGCAATTGAGCACTGCAAATCTCCAATCTCAGCAAGAAGCGCTTAGTAAAGCAAGAGCCGCGAACCTACCGAAGAGTCATGCCAACAATAGCAACCGAGCACCTGCTGCCCCGACGACGTCGCATGCGCCGTTTTCATTCGGTGGTCAGTCTCCTCAGGGTGTTCCACAATTTTACGGGCCCACGAAGAATGAGCTCACTCAAGAGAAGCTCATTCTACCTGTCACCAAGAAAAGAAAAAGTAACAACGTTGCTAGTCCATCGACGCCGGCACAAGCGCCGACTCCTGCAGCTGCGAACAAATTGTCACCCTTCGGAAAGACTGATTCTCCGGATGCGCAACGTACGCCAGCGGTGACACCCATGATTAAGTGCCCTATAGCACACTGCGAGACTGGTATAGCTGGCTTCCCGACTAAGACCGACCTAGAAAAGCACATTGCAGATACTCATGAGCCCAAAGAACCAGTCATTAAAGATCCTCTTGACGCTGCGGCATATGCGATTGAAAGCATGCGATTAGCATTGAACCTGGACCAGGATGGGAGGTCTAAACCACTACAAGAACAAAGGGTCGAGCCGATGCAAGCGCAGGCCATGAAAGCCTCGCTATCAGCACAAGGTCAAAGCTCCGTCAAACAAGAAGCCGCAACGCCGATGAGCCGAAACCCAACGCAGACAGGGCCTTCACCATCGTCCAACCTGTTAAAGACCCCGCAGGCTGCAGCAAATATCAAGACCCCGGCGTCTGACGCCAAATCAACTGGCAAAGAAATAAAAGCCATAGCTCTGGCGAAATCACCAGCAGCCGCAGCTCCTGACCTGTGGGCCAACAGCCACGTTAAGCCCGAATGGTTCAAACAAGTCTTCTCCGAAGTCGCCGATCTCAATCGCCCCGTCTCTAATGACCTCATCATCGACTGGCTCGAACGTAACCCTTTCACTCCCTCCACCAGTCCATCCAGTGGGGTCCCATCGAAGGACAGCCCGCATAAGAGCGACATTAGCGCAAATGACACCCTCAACATCAATGTCAACGGTGACGATTGGCTTCCGCCTGAGTGGTTCGATGATGGCTTGCCGAGCGACATGGCCGCCCTGGACGTTGGTGACTTTATGGATATGGATTGGGAGGCTACATTTGGGAAGCCCGAGGAAGGAGAAGAGGTGTTGGCGAAGGGCAAGAGGAGGAGGGAGAGGGATCCTCTAGAAGCGAGTGATGAGTGGTTGAAGGCGTGGGCGCCGGATAGGTGGGAGGAAGGGAAGAATAAAGACGCAGAGAGGAAGAATTAGGTGGGTGGGGGTCAGTCAGTGTGGAAGATTTGAATTTTGCAGCATGCGTGTGTCTCAGGTCTCTATCATTTGGATTCCTGTCTCTGTCGATTCTGACATTGAACCATACCGTGTTGGACGACAGGGATGGCGCTGGGAGTCCTGGATAGTCCTTGACTTTGCTCTGTCTATCCGGTCCTTGCATGTTTGCGACATTTCTGGCATATCTGCCCGCCGTCTCGGTCTTTGTCATGGGATGTACCACTATCTACTGCAAGCGAGGTTGATAGATGAGATACTTTAGATCATTCAATTTACTGGACTTTCAACAGCTAGAGTCCCTGCGTTCGTTATTCTGTGTATGTGTACACAAAATACTCGCCATTTCACTTGGCCCTTCCTCCTCGATCCTTCAATCAACAGTGGCTAGCATGTAATATCATACAAAGTCACACACTCGACGATAGACAGAGTCAATCACTTCCCTATGCGCACACACACGCACATAACCCATCTTGAGACGACACTATTATTCTCTGCGACTGCAGTCGCTGTTCCTAAGGATCCAAGAGATCCGGCGCTCAGGGGGGGGGAACTCGTTGGCGCATTTTCTCTTCGCGCGCTTGCCGAGCCCAACAAGTCTTGTGCCAGATGCAACTGAGCCAGGTGGTCGTCCTTCTTCACAGTCACTGAGATTCTCACTGGAGCGTCGGCGTGGAATTTTGTGACGTTTTGGCGAGCGTGAGGACATTTCCGTCTGAGGGGACCTCAGGTTTGAATTGGCGTCCATCGACTCGTAGATCCTCCGGCGTCGGGCAACTTTGCTGTTGGGAGATGTGGTGATGCTGGAGGTGTTTGTGGGGCTTTACGGTCATGGATGGACTCCGGCGCCCAATAGAAGGCGGGCCGGTGATGTTGTCCGAGAGCTATGAGGTTTATGGTATGGTGGTGAGTGGTGGAGGGCTGATAAGGACAAGCTCGAAGGGATGGGCACGGCTGCGGCTGCACCGATCTCTGGTGGCGCGCCTGGCGGTCGCGGTTGAAGAGGCGCCAGGAAGCCAAGTTGGAGTGAATGAGATCCTTGGTAGGTCGTAGCTGCGGTCGTTGTTACTGGACTTGACCGCGCAGACAATTATCTGGTATGAGTGAAAGGGCACCGCTGTCACCTATGTCGAAAAGATACCGTGCAGCGAAGAGCGCGCGGTTTTCGTGAGACTCCTTTTGGCTATCACGAATGCTCAATCGGTTCCTCTGCTAGCAACGCCTCCTCTTTACGCTTCTTGATGCATGACTTCAGAGGCGGGCGGACGATGTCGTTGAACAGGAAAGTACCGTAGACCAATAGAGCAAATCCGAGTATTTGAAGCCACTTAAACGTCTCCCAACCCAATCCCAGCGAGACGATCCAGATAAACAGTGTCCGGCACGTATCAATTGTCGATCTTGCGGTTGCACTGACGGTTCTCGTAACAGACAAACCGAAGAAATTGAAGCCGCCAATACTGATCATAATGAGCACCGAAGACACAGCAATAGCTTTATTGTGTGTCATCTCTCGCCATCCCTCTTCTGCATCGAAGTAGCCATTCCGTCCTTGTTCCGTGCGCCCGACGACCAAATGTAAAATTATCATGGCTATTACTGTCACGATGAAGCCGAAGAGTCCTTCCCAGCCCACTACTTTCAGTGGTTCCAAGGCGTATTGTTCGAGGATCCATTCTTCAAGGACGAATTGAGTGGCGGTGAAGATCTGGGCGAGGGCGATCATTAGGACGCCGATGATTGTCCAAAGGGCTTCTGTCGATCTTGCTGTGACTTTGATGTCTTCTACCGTCGCTCTGGCGAAGAGAACAACTGCTTCCATTGTGGACCTGGGTTCCGGCTGCGCTTGTGGGTTGGGAGCAATAGCGCCTGCCAGTCCGACAACAGCTACGCCGAGTACCACGATGAACAAGGCCGACCACTGGTACAAATAGAGCTTCCGGTGGAGAAAGATGACACTGAAGAGCCCGACAAAAAGTACCAAGGCTCCGCGCGTCATCTGGTATATACTAGCAGCCACGAAGAGCAATCCCACATTCATCAGCGTCGTTCCTGCAATATCGCAGCATGCAGGCAGCGCAAGTAGTATGACCCTCCATCCCACCAACTCTCTTCTATCATCCGCGTTCGGTACTAGTGACTTGGCAACTGGGTTCGCGGCCTCAAGGGCGGAGAATGAGCTCCCAAGCTCTTCATTGTTATCCTCTTCGTCCGAATCAATCCCAGAATCGTGTCCATTAACGGCCGTGTAACCACCGGCGAAAAGCGGCGAGGAAGGGCGTGATATGTAACGTTTGTAGAGGTAGTGGCCGAGGACGACGAGCCAGCAGGCAGCCTCGCCGATGAACATTTGCGCGGTTTGGATTACGGGCATGGAGAAGCGGCGGATCTTGGAAGGGTCGGAGGAATCGCAGTTGGCGACACATTGGAGGTCCTGTGGTATGTCAGTCTCCATGAAGCCTTCGTGACTAGAGTAGGATGAGCTACCTGATACTTTGACAACAGTGTGTTGCAGACGCCTGTCAACAGCATCATAGCGATGAGGAAGGGGACCATGACTTGATTCGCCATTGTTTGCGGATGCTGGACAATATGATTGCGACAGGCGCTACGTGTTGAGAGCCCCGGGATGGGCGAGTTATGAGTTTTATGCTAAGTTATGGTCATGGAGAGAGAGCGTGGGGAACGGTCTTGTGGTTTGGTCAGATGTCGTTGTTCCAGGTAGGTCCGCAGTGACGCTCTGGCATTTTGATGATTCCCGGAGTTCAACCGGGCGATGTTGATTAAGTCATGAGACAAGATACTACCTTAGCGAGTAGCAGCGGTGTCGATTAGAATGGCAGACGCTACTGCAGGCTACTGCAAGCCACTTGCGCAGTCATCTCCACTAACCCCCATATAGAATAGGAGGTAAATAATGGAGACGCGCTCATACCTCGCTCCTATGCTTTCGTTCTATGTTTCTTTTATGTCATCGTCGCTTTCTACCACTTTTTATCATTATCGATTTTCTCTCTACTCTTTACAGTCTAAATTACCTAACATATAGCCGAGATCATATCGCGTCTCCTTAATAATCCCCCAAATATCGAGACAATTTCCGACATCCGTTTAAGTTCTTTTTATAAATAAGATTATCGCGATAAGTAATCTTATTATAATCTTAAACGAGTTAAAAGAGTTAAATAATAAGATCTACTACGATTATAAGTTTTTTCGTAAATATTAATTATTATATCGCGATATTTAAACTTAGTATTAACTCTTTAAAACGCTAAAAGAGAAGAATTTTAATCGCTAGACGTTTATATAAAAGAATTCAAGCTTTAAGCTCTATAAAAATATTATCTCGAAAATATTATAAGAGAAGTATTAACGATGAGATTAAGACGTCGGCGAGGCGTTAATTTAATATAAGCGAATTTTTAGAAGAAAATATAGATTAAATATAGAGTGATGAAAGGAATAAAGAATTCTCTAAGAGAGGGTCTTTATAACTATAGATATAGAAATAACGATAATAATATTAATTAATAAATTATATAGTCTTAAATATATTTAATTAAGTAATAGCGAATTACTAGAAGATTAGACAATTATCGATACGATGTTTATCTAAGTAGTACGCGTTTTTATTATTTATCTTCTATTCTATATGAGGAATGATGAAGAAGACTACGCGTATAACTTATAGTAGTCTATAGTAGCGTTTACTATTCTAATCGAAACCGTAGTAGCGATCTTCTTTTACTATATATATACGATAAATATATAATTATTTAATTAAGATATATTAATAAACTATCTTCGCCTTTAAATAGTAAAAAATAAAAAATAGATTAAATAATTAACGATTATATATCTTAGTACGTATTAATAAAAAATATATCGAGTTAAAATAACTATAATATATTTAATATATTTTATATATTAAAGTTATTACGATATCGTTACGATATTATTCTAGAATCGAGAAATTATTATAAAATTAAAAACCATTTCGAAAAGAATAAAAAAATTAAGAATTCTATAATAATTATTAAGATAGATTAAGACGAGTTAGATATTTATAAAACTAAATTAAATTAAATAATAGATATATTCGTTTATTCGAATTACGAGACTATCTTACTCTATAAGTTTTTATTATTTAATTAAATTTACTTAAGTTAAAGAATAATTTATTTAATTATATAAAGTAATTTACGTTAATTTATTATTACTAAGATATCTATATAAATATTATTATTCTATTAATTTATAATTACTATCGTAATATATCAAATTTCTAGATTTATTATATTTAAAATTAATATACTTTTTTTAAAAAAAATTTACTATTATTTTATAAAAAATACTATTAAAAATATATAATATTTTTATAAACTTTTAATATTACGATTATATTATTAAATACTCGCTAAAAGACGATAATTTTTATTAATTTAATATAGATACGATTATTATAACTTATAATTCTTTATTAAAATATATTTTCGTAAGTTAATAACTATTTAAACGCGAGATAGAAAATATTATATTTAATTAGAGAGCGAGTAATAACTTAATAAGATAAAAACTTCGAGATTTAAATAATATTAATAAATTTTATAAGATAGTTAGATTAGAAAAAATATTAATATCTATTATTAATAATAAATTAATAATCTTCTATAAAGTTTTTATTTTAATTTTTTCTTTTTTTCTTTATATATAAATTAATATATATAAAAGAATAAGATAGAGCTAAGTTAGAAAATCTTAAATATCTATATATAATTAATTATAAATTCGATAAATTTATATTTTTTAATTAGATATCGCGAGTAAATAAATTAGCGTTTATAACTATTAAAAAAATAGATATATATTATTAATATATAGAATAACTTTTTCATTTTCTATTAAAATTTTAAGATTTCTTTTTTAAATTATAGAATAAAATATAAGCTTTTTGTCACGGTACGCCAAGGCCTCCTTCAGAGCTACCACCCAATGGGATCTAGCGTAGCTTGGCACCGCACATATCTGCCCTGCAGGCACATAGAATAATCAACATCTTTTACACCACACATGAATTCATGACCCAGTCATCCATTTCCTTGACAATTGGTAGCCACACCTAACCCAGGTCCTCTTCCAAGTCGTCTATACCGTCACTCGACCAGTAGTCACAATATACCGACAGTCAGCCCCCCCGCGCTTCCGCTACGCAGCTAGATTCAGTCTACGCAAAAACCAGCCAATCAAGTCAATCCTTTCAATAGGCCATTTGACATCTACATCATGGCCCCACCAGCCAGTCAGACGAAAATAATCGGAAAACCAAGCGGAGAACTCGTGCCAAGCACCTCTTATCAAGCCTTCAACACACCAGATTCACAGTTAATGATCCTCGACCTCTCACAAGATACGATCAATGGCCTAATGACTGCATTTGGTGGTATGATGCGTCAAGAAATGCAGAGATTTGAGCAGAGATTAGAGAGAATCGAACAGTTTTTGGGCCCCGCACTATACCAAAATCCTACTTCATCTCCCAATCCTACTCCGCCTCCCAATGCGACTCCGCTTCCCAGCATCGAAATACCACAGCAGAAACTCTCTCACACGAACGACTCGTCCTACCATACAAATCCAGGCCACTTACGAGCAGAGGAGGTGGGATACTTCGATCCTGAGTACCAGCAAGAGCAGGAACAAGAGCATAGGCCATTGCAACAGGCAAATGTGGAGAAAACTGCGGAGAAATTTACGGAGAACACTACGGAGAAATCAAGCGACAACAAGGCCACCATCATCAAGAACACGGCTCAGCTCTCCAAGATCCCACGTCATATACTCTCCACGATCCCACGTCAGATCGCCACTCAGCAAGCGGAGAACGACACTACAATTTGGCCTGCTATCTCTGCATGCCTAGGCAATATCACATTAGTGTGGCACATCACTGCAATGAGCAAACAAGAGAAGGATCTACTGCGACGATCACAGCCAAATTACTATGATCAGCAAGCAAAGGCCACACATATCTCGCTGACGTCACACCGGATGGCTATGCGGTCTATGAGGAAGATGAGGAGGCGAATCAGGAGCATCATGGCCACTAGCAACGGTGCATTCTGATTGGTCAATGGCATAGGCCACGAGGACGTGTCTTTTTTCTTTCTTTGCGGGCATGTTGTCACGGTACGCCAAGGCCTCCTCCAGAGCTATCACCCAATTGGGCCTAGCGTGGCTTGGCACCGCACATATCTGCCCTGCAGGCACATAGAATAATCAACATCTTTTACACCACACATGAATTCATGACCCAGTCATCCATTCCTTGACACTTTTAAATAAAAAAAGAATATTTAAATTTAGTCTTATAATTATTAAAGCGTAAGAAATTTAAATATCGTTTATTAAAGTTCGTTTATTAAAGATCGCTCGATAGCTAAATAGCTCTAATTAAAAAATATATATATATTATTTAATTTTAAAATAACCTTTTTATTTTCTATTAAAATCTTAGATTTTTTTTTTTAATTATAGAATAAAATATAGGCTTTTAGATAAAAAAAGAGCTTTTAGATATAGTCTTATAATTATTAAAGTATAAGAAATTCAAAGATCGCTTATTAAAGTTCGCTTATTAAAGATCGCTTATCTATTTACTCGATAATTCTTATAAAAAAATTATAAATTTAATTTATAAATCTTTACTCGTATTTAATAATAGAATTAATTTCTAAGAAATATTAAAACTTTAAGATATATAAGATAGATTTAAGAAATATTAAAACTTTAAGATATATAAGATAGATTTATATCTATTAAGTCTTTAAATATAAGAAATATATTATTAAAATTAGATTCTAAATGAAATCTCTAATATAGTATATATAATATTAACGCTTAAATATAAGTAGCGTTAAGATCTATAATAGTATTATATCTAATATAATAATAAATTATTTTAATCTTTTATAAACTATTTTAATCTTTTAATAATAAACTATTTTAATTTCTTAATAATAGACTATTTTAGTCTTTTAATAATAAGCTATTTTAGCCTTTTATAGACTATTTTAGCCTTTTAATAATAAACTATTTTAATTAATATATATAAAAGAATAAGATAGAGCTAAATTAGAAAATCTTAAATTTATATATATAGTTAATTATAAATTCGAGTTCTCTACGCTTTTTAACTAGATCGACTAAATTATCGCGAATATTAGAATCGATATAGATGTAATATTAATATAGATATATTTAATAAGATAACTAAGATATCGAATTATATAGATGAAAAGAAGATATAATATAATAGAGAATATCTTCGTTAAGGCTCGCTAGCTATAGTACTAAGAGATATATTAAGAATACGCTCGTAATAGCGAATAAATAAATTAGCGTTCGCAATTATCAAAATCTCGCCCTCTCGCGCGCGCGCCTTCTTATTAAAAATTAAATATATATTATTAATATATAAAATAACTTTTTTATTTTCTATTAAAATTTTAAGATTTTTTTTTTAAATTATAGAACGAAATATAAGCTTTTAGATAAAAAAAGAGTTTCTAAATATAGTCTTATAATTTTTAAAGCGTAAGAAATTCAAATATTGTTTATTAGAGTTCGCTCGATAATAAAATAACTCTAATTAAAAATAGATATATATTATTTAATTTTAAAATAACTTTTTTATTTTCTATTATAATTTTATTATTTCTTTTTTAAATTATAGAATAAAATATAGGCTTTTAAATAAAAAAAGAATTTTTAGATTTAGTCTTATAATTATTAAAAGATAAGATATTTAAATATCGCTTATTAAAGATCGCTTATTAAATTTACTCGATAGCTCTAATTAAAAAAATAATTATAAATTTAATTTATAGATCTTTACTCGTCTTTTAATAATAGACTATTCTAGTCTTAATAGTAATAATAGACTATTTTAGTCTTTTTATTAGAACTAGCATAGATGCGATATTAGTATAAGTGAGATAGATCAAGAATAATAAGGCTACCGAACTATGTATGTATGAAGGAGGCATGATATAATAAGAGATGCCTCCGCTAAGGCCCGCTAGCCATAGGGCTGAGGGCTGAGTGGTGTGTCAAGGGTACGCTCGTAACACTACCCCCTCCTCTCAAATAGTCATGGCCCCCATGGCTGGTAGACCGGAGATGCACGCCCATTGCTTGCCCTATGTCTCCAAACATCCATAGTCCGTGTAGGCCTCGACCGGAGACGATTTTGCGGAGGTGTAGTGGTAGTAGTCGAAAACATCGGATGGTTTCAATTCGTTCAAAAACACCATGTCCGAGTTTTTGCCGGATCGCATGCTGGTCTTGCCCACGTTATCCCTCCGAGATCCTAGAGATATTGGCCATATCTTGCCTGCGTGCCGGCAAGATTCTCCGAGTTCTTCTCCAGTCCAGCCTTCTTGTCATAGTCCTCCACGTAGGTTATTCACCCCCAACACCTACTGGCAGCCTGGCCTGGGAGCATCACTGTAGATTTTCCCTGCGTCTCCCATGCTCTTGCCATCAAGTCCATCCTCCATTGCATCCTCTGTCGTAAGGTTTGATAGGTGATAAGAATCGAATGTGTTGAATGCCATTTGGTAGCAGGCTCACTATGTGTGTTGTCGACATGCTCAGTGAAGAGGTCGTACGTTTGCTGTAGAGAGGAAGGAAGGAAGGAAGGAAGGAAGAAGTATTTTGGTGTCGATGTAGGTGGGTTGGAGTCGGAATTTATGATGTGTTGAATGTAGGTAAGAACGGAGTGGAGCGGAGAGGTCTCTGAAATTTTGTGATGCGGAGCGGAGAAGGATTTCTTGTATTCGATGTAGGGGACTCGTTTTTTGATGGATTGGGCTACCGTTGATAATGTAGGTTGTTTGATGTAGGTTCGTTTGAATGATGTAGGTGGTTTGTGATTTGAGTGTGTGGTGGGGCTTCTGTATGGTAGAAATACCCAGCGTTTTCTTTATTAGGCTCGGTCGCTTACTTCGAGTAGAAAGTGAAAAACCCGTTAATTCTCAATGAATGGAAGTCGATTTAGAATGCTGGACTGGACCTTTTCGCCGGGTGGGGGGGGTACCAGTAGTGAAAAGCTTGCCAAGTACTGGTTTTTGACTATTTTTGATTCTCCGGGAGATCTCCTAAAACCCCTCGGACCCTTCGCGGGCTCTTTAAGAGCTCTTCGAGAGCTTCTATCGAGGGGCTATAAAAGTAAACTTAAAATTTAATTATTTTAATAATATTTAATTAATTTTAAGTTTACTTTAATAGCTTCTCGATAGAAGCTCTCGAAGAGCCCTTAAAGAGCTTCGAAGGGTTTAAGAAATTTTAGAGAATTTAACTTTAAGAATTGAGAGAGATAGTTAATATACTTAGAGGGAGATTCTCTAAAACCCCTCTAATCCTTCGAAGGCTTTTTAAGAGCTTTTATCGAAGAGGCTCTTCTCGTAAGCTTAATAAATAAAAATCTTAATTTTTAGTATATCTTTATAAATACGATATTAAATTTCGTCTATATTATATTATTTAAAAGCGTATAACTAACTCTATAACTTTATAAATTTATTTTATTATTATATTTTTAATAAAAGAAAAGAAATTAAAAAAAGTAGATTTGAGGATTTTAAAGTTCTTTTTTAACTTTCTCTTTTAGACATACTCGTATATACTCGCTTTTAATTTAAAAACGAAGAAATAAGATAAGTTTTAACTTTAGAATTATAAAATCTAAAGATCTAATTAATTAACTTTAAATTTATAGTTATCGAATATTTTATAATTTTAATTTTAAGTAATAAGAAAGTAAGCTTTTTAATAATATTAGAACTAGTATAAATATAATATTAGTATAGATAAGATAGAATAAGAATAATAAGACTATCGAATTATATAGATAGAAAGTCGAAGAAGATATAATATAATAGAAGATATCTTCGTTAAGACTCGTTAGTTATAGAGCTAAGAGCTAAGTAATATATTAAGAATATACTTATAATACTTTTAATAACAATAGACTATTTTAGCCTCTATTCTATTATCTAAAATTTTGAATATATAATATATAAAACGAATAAATTAATTCTTTAAAATCTCTTCGAGATTAGATTCTAAATATAGTATAAAATTAAATAACTAAAAAATATAATAACTAGAATACGCGAGAGCTATATTTTAATAGATTTTTTAATTTCTATTAGTAACTCAGCTTAAAAAGTCTAGTTTTGAGAGTATTTATATTTAATAATTAAATATCTTTATTTAAATCTAAATAAAACTCTCGTAAGATTATTATTAATAATTTCTAACTACTATTAATACTAGTAATCGAAAAGATATAATATTTAATATAAGATTTAGAATATTTTTAATCTTACTCGATATTTTATATATAAATTATCGTATTTTAAAATCGTCTCGTATAAAATAAACTAGTCTCGCTATAGAGTTTTAAGAATTATAAGATTCTATAAATAGAATATAAAGATATAAATTTTTAAAAAAAAGAGATAAAAGTTAAAAAATTCTAAGTTTAAAAAATTCTATATCTTTTCGACTAGTAATTAATACTATAAATTAATAATTCTTTATTATTAATAGTTATAATAGATATATTATTAAATAAATCTATATATATTAAGTATTAATATCGTATTATAAATTTACGAGTAAAGATTTTATAAGAGCGTAGTTTACTGACGGTTAGCTAGCGAATATAGACTATAAAAGATATAGAGTCGTTATAGAATTTAATAATATATTTGATAATAGAATTAATCTCTAAAAAATATTAAAACTTCGAGATATATAAAGTAAATCTATATTCGCTAAGCTCTTAAATATATAAGATATATTATTAAAATTAAATTCTAAAAGAGACTTTAATATAATATATATAATATTAAAGTCTTAATATAAATAGCGTTAAGGTTTATAATAGTATTAGATTTAATAATTATTTTTTCTTCTAAGCTTTAATCTTTAAGCGCCTAAATAAAAATAGAATATTTATTAAAAAACCTTTAAATTCTAATAGAGAAATAAGAAAAAAGAGTTAATTTATTACGATATTATTTTAATAAGATAATAGAACTAATTATTACGCGCCG